TATAATTATTATGATGAATTCATATTTAAACTTAACTATCCAGGGATTAACCCTGATATTTTAATGTATGCAGGAGCTGTTATTTATGATTAGATAGTTTAAGCTACTTTTTAGTTTTATTATTTAGACTTTAAATTCAAAATACTGGATTATTTCACTAATTTTGAATAAGCTAAAGGAAATGTTGGACGATTGAGATTATCCATTTATGATCCTAGATTCATTATGCCTTCATTGAATACTCAAATTTTGACAATGAATATACCACCATAAAAGTGTGAATTAAATTATAAAAAGAAGGAGAGCTTTGTTGAATTCTTAGACTATCTTGAAGTGAATATCATTAATTGTGAAGATCTTGATACTCCATTGAAATATTCGGTGATGTTATTTCCTAATTAATCAATCTATAAAAATGATATTGAGAATTCCAAATTTTATCATTACACTCTTGTTATACCTCCATAATAAAAATCTAAATTTAATTTGACTCTTCCTTTTGCAAATAATGACGAAAGTCTTATTGTTGTAAACATCCAAGATTCAATTGGTGGAATTGCAAACATAACAGAGCCTATAATTATAAAATAATATGCTAATTTAAGTGAGACCAACATCAGAGACTACTAAAAAAGATTGAAAACATTTGATGAATAATTAATAGGATATAAGATTATAACTGATAGACTTACTTAATTAAGTGGTTTGATTGATTATAAAGAAGAATTATTTAAGGAATTGTTATCAATTGATAAGAATGACTCTTTTTTAAGTAATTAAACTGAAATTTTATATAATTCATTATCAAATATTTTGAGTTCGAATGTAAGTTTAATAGGATTAAATGAAACACACTTATTGTTTTAAGTAAATAATAGAATCAAATTGGCAGCTGCATAATTAATGATTTTGAGCGAATTGTAAAATAATAATAAATTGAGTTCAGAGTAAAACATAGAGAAATCTAATTATGTGAAATAATATTACACTTATACAAATATCCTGTCATCTTATATAAATTACCGAGTAAATAAAAATGTAACAGCAACTGAAATACAACAATAACTTGATATTATGATGAATTATCTCTAAGATATTAGTGTAGCTAATGAACCTATGTATAAAGTATCATCTAATTCAGTAAATTTGAATTTTGGATTCTTAACATCTAAATTAGCTACTGATGCTATTGGTTCTTCAATCAAAGATAATAGTAGAAATAGATTATTGGAGGAAGAGTTAGAGAATACTAATTAAAATTATAGCAATTCAACAAATTT